TATCACTATGGAAGTAGGATTGCCCAACCTTCCTTCCGAGGAGTGGCTGGTGGGTTTGAACCGCCAGCCTTCTGGTTAGCAGCCAAGTGCCTTAGTTCCAGGGTAAGACACAAAAAAGAAATAGAGACTCAAATAAATATAAAATCAGAATGAAGTTTAAAGACAAATTTTCGAACACATTTTCTATTTTTTGTCTTCAAACTTTTCTTTTGAACAGTTTATCACATTCTTCTGTCTTTCTAAAGACTTTGTTATGAGCACATTAACAGATAATTTAACTATATTTTCAAGCTTTTAAAAACAATATCATTGCTATTAACTAGTTAAGTTCAAAATAAATTTTATAATCATGGTGACATTTTCTGATAAGGTTACAATCTTAGTGGAATCTCAGACCTGTCTGCTCTTGCAGTTGAAGCAGGTTGGGAACCTTCAACTAACCTGAGCTTTTAATTTTGTCCTTCAGTTATCTTTTCTGTTGTTGTTATTGTTTGGTCCATTGAGTTGGTTGGGACTCACAGTGACCTTATGTCTACAGAATGTTGCCTAGTCCTGTGCCGCCTTCATAATTGTTTGAGCCCACTGTTTTAGCCACTGTGTCAATTCATCTCCTTGAAGGTGTTCCTCTTTCTTGCTGACCTCTGCTTTACTCAAGCATGATTGATTTTCCCCCAGATTGGTGCCTTTTGATAGCTTGTACAAAGTAAGTGAGACGAAGACTTGCCAGCCTCAATTTTAATGTACGAATATTATTCTTTGGGGTTGTATCCTTCAGGCCTGTGGTTTTATCTGTTCTTGAGATAGCACTGTACTGGCAAAGATGGACACATTCTCAGAGGTATAACAGACAAACCAGTAGGGTATTTCAACACAATCAGAGCCTGCTGGGAAAACAAAATTCTGTTTTGTGAATATCTAGGACTATAACTGGTATTGCCAACCTTTTGGTGAGGGGATGATAGGGCCTACCTCCAAAGCCTGCCTTATCTTTTGGTGACTCTTCAGTCTGGTCACTTCCATTTGAGTGGAATAACATTTCCCCAGAGCACCTCTATCCTGCCTGTCCCCTTCCTCCTCTTTGAAACTTTATCCTTCTCAAAGCAAAAAAAAAAAAAAAAAAAAAAGTTGTCAGTAGTAAGAGTCCTTCTGTCTTCTCATTTTAGGTTCTAGATATGATCATAAAGAAAAAAAAATTATGAAATGTTTTAGGCATACCAAAATGTATAGAGAATATGCAAAATGAGTACCTTCCATCTGGCTTAAGAAATAAAACATTACAAATATAAGTGAAAGTCTCCCCTCTCAGAAGTAACCATTATTCCCATACATGGTTTTGTACTTTTGCTATGTATGTGTTCATCCATAAATATAAAATGTGTTGTTTTAAATTTTTATATAGATGGTTTTCTTTTCCCACATTAAGGTATGTTGATACATATACTTCTGGTTTATTGATTTTTACCACTATAAAGTATGCCATAGTATGGATAATAAAACAACTTATTCATCCATTCTTTGGTTGATACTTCAATGTATATCTTACTACAAGTCTCCTTGATGAATGTGTGAGAATTTCTTTAGGATACATATCTAGGATTAGAATTCACAGCTTACTGGATTTGCAAATCTTTAACTTCACCTTTGTTGTGTGTCATGAGTTGGTAACTCAAAGGGACCCTACCTGATAGGGCAGAGCTGCCCTATAGGGTTTCTTAGGCTGTAATCTTTATGGGAACAGACTGCCAGGTCTTTCCTCCTGTAGAGCAGCTAAGTGAGTGTAGACTGCAGTTAGCAGCTGAGCTTTTAACCAGTGGCACACTAGGGCTCCTCCACTAGCTATGAGCCATTAGCAGTGAGGCCTAGCAATATTTAACAAGCCCTTGAGGCCCAAAGTTTCAGATTCAGTGGTGGCTAGTACAAAAATCTGCATTTCTAACATGTGCGCAGGGGATGCTGTTGTAGTGTAGCATCTGGGACCAACCAGTCCAGTGCGCTAGAGAAAGTCTTATACATTTTGAAAGACAGAACTGATGAGACACTTATCTGAAAAGATGTAGCAAGTGAGTTTTATTGTAGTTGTTTGCCGTTGAGTCAGCCCTGACTCATAGCGACCCCTCCTTGGGTTTTCGAGGCAGTGTCACTACAGAAGTAGGATTGCCCAATCTTCTTATTAGATAACTGAAAATTAGCTGTGGTATAATTGTAGCATTCAGATTTTAGAATACATTGACTAAATATGTTGTTGTTGTTGTTGTTATGTGCCGTTGAGTCAGACCCGACTCATGGCGACCCCTCCTTGGGTTTACGAGGCAGTATCACTATGGAAGTAGACTGCCCTATCTTCCTTCCAAGGAGTGGCTGGTGGGTTTGAACTGCCAGCCTTCTGGTTAACAGTCAAGTGCCTTAGGCACTACACTGCCAGAGCTCCCATGACTAAATATAGATAATATATAATAAATAATCAGTATGAATGATTGTTGTTGAAGACTAAATTGTTAATGAGTGCTGGAGGGGCTTCTCTGCATGTGCTCTTGCTGTGCTAACAAGGGCAGGGAAGGGGGCAGGTGACCAGCGCCAGGCTGGATGGCAGTGACCTCCTCTGACATTGCTTACATTCTTTGGAGTGTCTGAGATGCATCTATAAAACCAAGGTGTTTGGATGGAGGTGTGACCAATCACTTGGGGTTCCTCAAGATTTAAGACATAAAATTACTGAATCTTAATGGTTTGGCTGACCTCAGATTTTTACATGCAGAACAAAATAAAACAAAACAATCAATCTTTATATTATGTAGGTTTTTATTATACTTAAGTTAGCACTATTGTAACAGGATGCTGGAGTTGGGGGAAGGCGGTGAGTGATCCCTCAACTTCCCTTTCTCAGTACTTATAAAAGTTGAATATGAAGCCTTCACATATTTTAGGGTAAAAAGAAACAAACACGCTTGCACATCCTGAAAATGGTTAACACATAAACTGGAAGCAAAGTGATTTTTTTTTTTCATATTTAACACTACAAAAGGTCAATTAGGAAAAAAGAGCATGAACCAGTAACCAAAGGCATTTGCTTATGTCATTGCACAATTTATAAAAAAGGTAATTGTTTTTCAAAACCAGAAAACAGGTTCAAAATACTTTTCACACCCTTAAGTGATGCTGTTGGGAACAATGGCTGCTATAAGGCCATTTATTGCAAGCACATTTCCAGCTAGTTCTGGTTACCATTACTCTCATTTCATCTTCTTTCTTTTTTCTCTCTCATGAGCTTTTTGCTTTCTTCTCGTCTTCTTTTATTCACTGGATTCCGAGGATCATAGATTTCAAACGTGTCTGAGTCCTGCATGCTTGCATCTTTCACTTTTCTGCTTTTATCCTCAAACTGAAGCACATGTGACATCCTACAGAAGGAGAGAGATGGCTCGGTGAATTTGATATGAGAAATGAAAATATTTACATTACCCTATCCTATAATAAATTGCACAGTGCCTAAGGCACTTGACTGCTAACCAGAAGGCTGGCGGTTCAAATCCACCAACCACTCCTCAGAAGGAAGGATGGGCAATCTACTTCCATAGTGATACTGCCCCGGAAACCCAAGGAGGGGTCGCGCTGAGTCGGGTCCGACTCGATGGCACATAATAACATCAACAACAACAACAACATAATAAATTGCAACTATAAGGGTACAGTACACAAAGAAGGGCTTATTGTTTACTGGTGCTTATACTGCATGGAAACCAGCTTCTCAGAAAACACTTAAATTTGAAAAACATGCCTAGAGTTTTGTTCTGCTGGTTTGTATTTCTAGTTGTGAGCTTCTTTGTCTCAGTCTTCGTTTGAGGCTTCTACCTCAATGGGAGATTAAAGGAGTTCTACCCAGAAATGCTCCTTAAACTATACTCAGAGAACACTCACCTTCCTTCAAGGAACACACTCATTTAGCCAGAGTGAGTCAGGATGCAGAGCAGAAACCCTGAAAATATTTCAGCCCTATCTGAATTTTTTCCCAGTAGTTAAATGGGTCAAAGTAGGGACTACTCTAAGAAATGTAACCTAGATGCTCAACCGGCGTTGTCACTCTCTTTCTGATAAGATCCTTGGTTATTTATTTATTTATTGTCTCCATACAAAAGGAAGCTAAGTTGCACTTCACGGGCCAATTTCCTCCCCTTATTTTTGATTACAACAACCTCAGCCATCCTGCTCTCTCTACTTTATCAATCTCTTACTGGTCTTAAGGTATCAACATGTGCTTGAATCATAAGTAGTCATAAGTTGGCTATCCCTAGGGGCACAGAAATATGTAAGTGATTAGCTGTGTCTGCATTAGGAGGTGTCAGGAATAAATAGGGAAGAAGTCAAAAGACCAGATTTCAGGGCAGTTGAATGAATCTGAAAAGAGAAAAAGTCATTTTCTTGTACAAACCCAACTAAAACTATATTATTAAGGCTTTCTCTCATTAGTTATTTAAACGTTTTTATGGGCAAACTCAGAAATTTTCTGTACCATGGTGATAGGACTAAATTGCCTATAGGATTAACACTCCCTACATGCCTGTTGTAGCTTTCAGATGAAACCCAAATACGACATTAATTTACTTTTCCCTATACAAACCCACCAGCCACTCCTTGGAAGGAAGATGGGGCAATCTACTTC